AAACCTGTTTTGCCTGAGGTTGAAGCACAATATAAAAGAATGTCATAAATACATATCTACACTTACATCTAGAGTTGCTGCCTCAATTTCTGTTACTAGTTCATTCCTAGATACGATAGATTGATAACTGCTCATAACGTACACTAGAAATAAAGGTCACATGGGAATATATCTTGGGAATTTATTTATTTATTTAGAACATTTATACCCCGTCCTTCTTGACCTCTGAGGAGGGATTCAGGATGGCTTCCAACACAAGGTAAAACATATAATAAAATACAGCCATGTGCATTAAAATAGTTATAAATATACATTTTAAAAACAGTTTGCCAGGTTAAAATTGTCATCCAAATCAGTCCAATTGCAGTCAAATAAAATCTTAACCAGTAGAAACAATATATTCTGTAAATGCTTGATCCCATAACCAGGATTTAAGTTTCTTCCGGAAGGTCAGGAAGGAGGAGGCAGATCTAACCTCATTAGGGAGGGAGTTCCACAGCCGAGAGGCCACCATGGAGAAGGCCCTGTCTCTCATCCCCACCAAACACAACTGTGATAGAGAGCAAGGCCTCCCTGGATGATCTTAAGGTCCTTGATGGTTTCTAGAGAGAGATACATTCAGGCAGGCTAGGTTCTGTGAAAATGTGGTCTCACACGCACACCACTATAAGTCGATTTTACTCCTTAAGTAATGATTCTGTGGTAAAATTCGAAATTCTTCTGTATGGAAACAAATTAGTAGAGGGAACATTCTGTAGAATGAGTCCTTCATCTCAAAAGATCTCTCTTCTTCCAGTCAGAACAGGAGCCTGTTGTACTTTCAAGACTGCTCCCTGCTTGTAGGCGTCAGGCCAGAATGTGATCAAAACTTTGCCATTTTGTGTGCTTCTAAGAATTCCTTGGCCATTAAAAATACAGAACCTCTCATCCTATTTTTTTGTGCAAGCATGGAGTCTGGGCCCAGGAGCTTGCATGTCAACTTTATAATGGGAGCATAGCAGCTCCTTGTTGGAGGCTGCTTAAAACACATTGTCCACAGCTGTGCCAAAGAGGTTCAAGCCATTAATAGTGTCAGAAGGAATGAGGTCACATATATATCATTCTAAATGTATTTGGGTCACTACAGATCTAAGATCATTAGTGGGAAAACTATCTCTGTTCTCTCATATCTTGTATGTAGCTGTATTATATAAATTGGACAAACATTTGGATAAGACCCAAATCAGCCAGACTTGGACTACATGAGTTCACAGATATAAATCTTTTACATTAAATTCAAGAACTGCATGTAATCTTTGCCCTCCATTTTAAAAACCCCATGGTTTCAACCCTCCCCCCCATCTTCTAGACTCAATTTTCAATTGCTTCATCCCTTTCTTTCCTGTCACTTCCAGTAAAAAAAAATTCAGTGGTAACTGTAGTGACAGAATATCTACCCATGGTACATACAGCAATGGCACCCAATGGATTTGAAAATATTTAATGCAAACCTGGCAAAGTTACCTGCTCCAAATGTACATGCTTGTGAGAAAAGCTTGGCTATTCAGAAAGCAAAGCACAATTATGGGATTCTTATCAGATTTCTGCAAGTAGGATTGTCAGCATGAATTACTATGAGGCAGTACCAATGGAGACATCCAAACTGTGTTAAGAGCTTAGCAATATTTTTCCATGTGAGCTACGCACATGTGTCAAACTCAAGGTCCACGGGCTGAATCTGGCCCACTATGTAATTTTATGTGGCCTTCCAGATTTAGGACTACAAATCCTGTATTCCTCATCCCTCATCATTAGACATCATGACTAGAGCTGATGGGAGTTGTGATACAGGGACAACTGGGAGACTGACCTTTGTTCTGTTTTGTCTAGATAGTTGGGGTTTGCATTTAGGTGCAAGGCTTGTAGATATGATGTCTGACCTTAAAATGCCCTTTAATTTTTCCTCAACCTCAGACCTATAAGGATTGTTGGGTTGCAATTCCCATTATCCCCAGTCTGTATAGTTGGCCCTCTGTATTCAGATTCTCCATCCATAGATGACCTTTGAAGGCAACCATAATTGATCAAAATGCATTTGACACTCCTGTGTTAGACTATTCGTTCTGAAATACCTGAAAAAATACCTAGTTGGATGAAGTAGCTAGAGAGATGCAAAAAGGACATGACAGAATTTGGGAGAGAAATCAAGAAGAGAGATCTTGAATTCTATGAGACAGTAACATTTATGGTAAGTTTGGAACCTGGAAGTTCAGGGATTTGATTTGGAAACCAGTGGATATCAGCTATCTGTTGGAGTATATAAACATTATACAAGCTAGACTTGTATATTTGTTAAGAGATGGAAATATTACAAAATGTCAAGAACAAAACCTGAGTATGTTCTATACCCCTGAATCTTCTCAGAGAAGCGGGGTGAATGTAACAGTGTTTTGGTCTGGTAAATACACCATTGGTGTTTCACATCTATAAACACTGGGCTGTTTATATGTATTTTTACCTAAACAAATGAGACAGGAGTTATTTAACAGTCATTTTATGCCTATGGAACACGTATAGTTTCTTCTGCTGCTACAAATTCTGATTGAGCTTTCCAAATCCAAGGAAAACCTCCATTCTTCCTCCCAGAAGTTAACAAAGGCTCTTTACTGCACAACTATGCGTCCATTGCCCATTGGTCTATAACTAGTGGTCATGATATATCCAATTCCATCATATATTGCTCCTTAAATATTCAAAGCAATTTTGAATATTTCACCAAATGAATGAATGAATGAATGAGGAGAAGTGTAACTACATATACACATAGTAGTTCAATACTAACTGAAGGATGAATACTTTCTGGAAGGTTCAGTGCAAGTCTCCTCTACTGGGCGAGATCTCAGAGATCTGCAGATGGAATAATCTAGCAGCAGAAATGCTAAGATGTGCTGGCAAAAGGGCCAAAGGGGAACAGGGTTAAGAAAGCACAGCCTCAAGTAATTTACTGTCAGCTCAGCCATGTCTCGGCAAACTTGGTCAGTTAGGATTTCACTTAAGGAGTGCATGTAAATTGTAGAATTATGACAGTCCAACACTCCTTTAATTGCCATGGCTTAATGTTATGGAATTGTGGGATTTGTAGTTTGGTGAGGCCCCAGCACTTTTTGACAGAGAAGGCTAAAGACCTTGTAAAACTACAACTTTAATTTCATTGAGCCATGAGAGTTAAAGCAATGTCAAAATACATTAATTCTGCACCATAAGTCTTCTTAAAATGTCACACTACTTGTTTATCAGTAACCCCAACTGTTTCGGAATCATTTCCTTCCTTCCTTCTTTCCTTTCTTCCTTCCTTCCTTCCTTACTTACTTACTTAAAATCATCACTCACAAAAGGAGCATTTCCTCCATCTCAAGTTCATATCTCCTGAATTGTGAATGCTTTTCAAAGGAGGAGTTCATCGATTTTCAGCAAGCTTTACCTGCCCTGAAGCAAGCTTCCCCCTACTCTTTCATTTCATCTATCTGTGAAACAGATTTGAGGGTAGAGTTACTATAAAAGTTAGTGAGAAAATCACTTTGAGCATATTGTTTCTATATGCAGCCTGAAAGGAATTGCTAAACAGCTAATATAGCAAACTGTCAATCAATGCACTGGCCCGGCCCATAGTTAAGCCAAAGCAGGCCTTAATTGTGCAAATCTATATTAATATATTTAATCTGTTTTCTGTGATTAGCAAAATCTTGTTTCCTTTAGTTAAACCTCCTTTATAGTAATGATGCTCCAACCCTGCTCACCCATTTATATTTCTGTCCACTCAATGAAAAATATCTTGCTACCATCCTTGTGCAACCTTTAAGGAAGTGGAACTGCTCACCGGATGACATTTATGTCAACATAAACCAGAAACAGATTGTAGGGACAGGAAGCCTGCAGTGATCCAGTCTAAGAACTATGGGTTGTAGGGCTTGTCTCCCCGCTCCCAAAAAAAAAAAAAAAAAGGAATTGACTTTCTCAAGCTATTTGTAGTGTAGGGGAAGCCAACTGAGTTTTCTCTTGAGACATTACTTAGATAACCAAGGGATGTGCACATTAATTGCATTTCCCCCAATTAATGTCACGCCTCATTTGTAACTGAGTCAGATAACAGGCTAAACATATTGTTGCTGGAAAAGCATTAATGAACTCCTTGTACATTAGAAGTATGTTTCACAGAAGTGTGTTTCTGAAAAAGAAGTAGCCACAAAACCAGAGGCAGGCAGAGTGGAAGTTCAGGATAAGAAGAATTGGTTACTTTACAGAGTAGTGGGAGAAGGGCATCAAATAGGCACGGCTAGCTGAACAACCAAACTATGGGAACATGATATCCTCTGATGTTAGACAGATCTAATGAAGTAAACCTCTAAAAACTGCAAGCAGTGTTAGTACCCACGGTAAGAAAAATGGGTTGTGTTCTTTAGTGGCCTGTCAAGTCAGCAAGGATCAAATACAGAGTGTATGTGCACATGCATAAATACATAAATAATTAAATATACTCAGAAAAATATATAATACTATGTGCAAATAGTAGCAACCCTACCCACTGGCAGTCTTTGTGGGGGGGGGGCAGGATATAAATTAAACACATAATTATTGCATTCTCACTCATCAACAGGACAGTGTACCTCAGCTTCCTCATCTTGTTTGAATTTCCTGTCCATGTGTTTCTTGCAGCCACACAAATGTTTATACTATAGTTGTTGTGCTTTGAGTGGATGTATATCTTATGAGCTAGCAGGAGGATATTGCAAAACATGTTACATGTGCAGCTTTACATATATTTTTAAAAACTCTGAACACATAGTAACAAACAGGGAATTAGTCACATTGTTTACTTAATAAAGCAAGAAGACTACAAGTTGTATGGCTTTGTTATTAATAGTTGTTTATTAGTAGTAAAAAGCAAAATCCAAAATGTTACTTTTTAAAAACACAAAGCTAAATACTACTTTGACAAAAAGAATGGTACGTGTTTTTTTAAAAAAAAAATCAACTGAAGATTTAAAGTAGGTTTGAGAATAAATTTAGAGAAGGATCCTTATGGAAGACACCTACATTTCTGTCATATGCTCCAAATTTCCTGGTTTTGTAATCCGTACCTGTTCATTTTGTACTTCTAACAATAAAGACCTGCTTTGTGACCATAATAAAGTTATTAGTACATTCTGTAGACAAGTTTTCTCTTCAGCTTTCCCCCTTTCACCATTTTTATGATCTCATGCTATACTTTATATACTAAAGCAGTATGCAAAATATAGTGGACTTCCTAAACTTTAAGTTACAACATCCTCTTCCTCCTTCCCAAATACATCAAATTATTGCAATCACGTGTACATTTCTTAATAGATACTGATTGAAAAAACAATACCTAAATTGACATAAGATTCAACTGCAATTTGTCATCCATGCATTGAAACATCTGAAGACACTGTCTGTAACTGTACAGACTGCTTGGTCTGAAGAATTCAGTTAATCCAATGGATATAATCCAACGTGTTGTCCTGGCAAAGACCCCCATGGATATCATCCAATGTGTTGTCCTGAATTTTCAAGCTACCACATCTCAGAAAGATGGATGGATGAAGAGACAGCTAAACATACTGACTTTTAGAATATGCACTCTCAGCTCTCCTCTGACTGTGGTAGGCAGTACGTTGCGAAGGTACAGAATACCGATAGCTCCTGGTTTTTTCGGTGCAACGGCAGAAACTGCAAAGAATGGCCCCTCCAACAACAAGGCAGAAGGCAGAGACCCAGCCTATGTAAAGGGCTTCTCCAAGCTCTCGTTTCTCGGCCAAGGTGACGACTGGATTGTAGAAATCCCGGATGACGTTATGGGCAACAAAGCACACAGGGATGAGCACAATGATGCCAGTCAGGATGAACGTGATGCCACCTGCCAGCAGTATATATCCTTTGATACGATCATCATTACCTGTGCACTGTGTGCACTTCATGCCAAGGATGGTCACTGCAAAAGCAAGGAAAGCCAGAGCTGAAGCTGAACACATGAGACCCCTGGAAGCTTGAAGATCAGGAGGTAGATCCAAGAGGGAGTCATAGATCTTGCATTGCATCCTGAAGGAGGCTTGCCTTAGGCAGTTCATCCAAAGGCCTTCCCAGAAGGTTTCAAACACTACAACATTGTTTTCAATGAAAGCAGTCACGCGCCACTGAGGCATGCCAGTGATGGCAAAAGTCCCAATTGAGCCAATGCTTCCAAGGACTAGTCCAGCAACCTGTAGAGCAGAAGCAGCCATCTCGTCCTTTTGACAAAAACGGTCTGAACCAGAGCTCTTCAAAACCAGGTGCTTAGATGGATCTTGCTTTGCTTTGGTGGACTCGGCTTATCTGCTAAACAGTCACGTCTCCTAACCATATCACAGTCCTGTGGTTACGTGCACAACTCTGCAAATGCAAACCAGTTTGAATCGGATACACACCAGCTAGCTCTTGGCTATTCTTTCACTGTCTTGAGTGTCCTCTGGCCCCGTTGACTGAAAAGGATAAAGTTATCCATCAGGTTTAACAACTTTCAAAACCAATGAAATCTTTGACATAACAGGGTATGCAGCAACAAAAATCTTCCCAAGGCACACCTGTTCCTGTAAGGAAAATTACTTGTCCTTTAGCTGTCTTCTCTTAGTGAAATATTAGATTATTAGGTTAGCTTTCTGAAAAAGGAATTGAGTGGTTTTAATAAGGAAGGTAGCACAGAAAGAACAACTCATAAACACAGTTTCCCTCTAAATGAAGAGAAAAATTAAGTGAAAATGACACATATTAAGACCCTGTAGATGCATTCATTGCCTTAGGATCAGATACTTTTATTTAAAAATTATTATTGTTGTTGTTGTTTTTTAATATATTTTATTTTATTTATGTAAAATAATTCAATACATTTATAATACAGGAGTCATACTATATCCAAGGCGCTTCATAGATCTCTTTGTATCAACTGTAAATGTCACTCTTATACATATGCTTCTATCATATAAAGAGAGGGGAGCATGGTGGTGAATGATAAAAATTATTATTGTTATTGTAATGATTATGTTTATATTCTGCTTTCCCTCAAAAAATAAGACTCAAAGTGGTTCATAATATAAAAGGACAATACAATTAAAAACATAAAAAGTGAACATTAAAATATAATTAAATCAATTACAAATTATGCATCCTTTATCAAAAATACTGGGGACCAGAAGTGTCTGCCCCCCCCCCCCGATTTTGGAATATATATATATATATATATATATATATATATATATATATATATTGAGGTGTCTAGGAGATGAGAGAGGGAGATGTTTCATATATATGGAAATGTTTCGTACATACATTATACACATAATCTAAACATAATTTTATATAATATTTTAAACAATTTTGGGCATTAAACAAAGCATTCATACATTGAATAAAGCACATGCTCACTATTTCTCCACATATTAGTTGCCTTTTTGTAGATGTGGGCCAAACTGATATAGGACATCTTCTATATTTGGAATGGGACAGGCATGCCATCACTAAGTAATGCATTAGATTAATTAATAGTGAAATCCATATTCATCTCATTATCAAATCAATAACTATATTGAATCTTAGATTTCATTCCCAGTCCTATCTCCTGGTTAAAACTGATTTTCCACTTCCCATAATTTTCCACCAAGTAACCAGCTCAAACCCATTAAGTAAAATAAGACACGTAGTTACTCCTACTAAAATATATAGAAAAGAGATGCACGATACAGATTCATTCTATTATTGTAAAATTGTATGAGCTTTGTAAAAAAAATAAAGTGGCTAAATGATACCTGTTCAGGTAATTACTTGTTTATGCAGAATAAACTAGAAATTTAATGCACAAGAAATCTCAACACATGCATCCATTTTCTTAATGTATATAATATTAAAGTGTGCTTTTCTCTTGACAAAGACAAAGCCTCTTAAGAGAGTCCATCAAATCGAATCTTTCCTTTTTCAGTTGGCCCTCCACAGTTGCAGGTTTGACTTTTATCGATTTGATTATTCACAGATTTGATCATAATGTTCTATCTAGAGAGCTCTAGTTCCTCCATCACAATTCTGAGGTCATCTTATGCCACATGTGGTATGTCCACATTATAAAATTACTTTTATTAAGCAAGAAAAAGACTGGTATAGCAGTAAGATTACACAATCCAAGTATTATTATTATTATTTTAAAGAAGATAAAAGTAATTGGGTAGCTTCATATACAAAACTTCCCAGGGTACATCCAAAAACAGAAGAGGCATAGGAAAATGTAAAGAGGCAGGAACACCAGGGCAGAATGAAAGGATGTCAATATGGGAAGGTTAGAGCAGGACTCTACATGGCAACATCATTGACAAGTGAATAAGGTACTGTCTCATTTCTGTGATAGATTCCAACAAAGAAAATTCAATCTTCATATAAAAAACTTGACTAGATGTTTGCTTTTTGTTTTTGCTGTGTGTCTCCAAGTCATTTCTGATGTATGGCAAACCTTAGGCAATCCTATTGCAAGGTTTTCTTGGTACTATTTATTCACAGGAGGTTTGGTATAGTTTCCCTCTGAGGTTGAGGAAGTGTGGCTTGCCCAAGGACACTCATTAGGTTTCCAAGGCTCTGTGTTGGTCTCCTAGAATCCTAATCAACACTCAGCCCACAATCGCACACTGGCTTACAACTTTCTGTACATTCCTAAATATATTGAAAATATACAAGTGCTGAGAGTAGATCATTATGTCTTCTTTTCTTAGGGAGAACTTCTCAATTCACACTCATGCCAGCAGGATTTAGCAAATAGAAATATCAAAGTAGTTATGTAGTTTTACCCACTGGCTTTTTGTTTAGTTTGGTTTTCCCATTTGGTGAAGTTCTTCTTTAAATGCTCACACCAAGTGTAAACATAACAACATGTTTTATTCTGAAATGATTTTCCTAAAATTTTATGTTTAGCAGGCAGACACCTTTCCTCCGTCTGCAATTTCAGTATATTGTTTTTCAAGCTTTGCTGAACTTAGATTTTATTATAAAAGTATCTCAAGAAATAATGTCATATTACAAACACATCATTCTTCAAATAGATCACATGAGTGCACTTGGGCTTTAGAAATATCACATAATGATGTCATGCACACATATGAACCACCACAGTGATTTAAACATGACCTTAGAGGGGATTTTCTGGGAACACAACTCGGAGAACCCCCAGCAGTCCTGAAAGGTAGAAAATTCTGAGCGTTGTAAAGAAGCAGAGTTTCCAGGCCAGGAGGTCCAAGAGGATGCCTTCACTGTTGTATGTCCAGTTACTGGAACATAGTTAGACATGTTTTGGCCACTTCTTGATTCTACCATGTATGTGTCACTGGGGGGGGGGGGGGG